ATAAGTTGAAGCCTGAGTAAAGAATATCTAAACACGGGAATGTTCCTGAATACCTTCATGTGTGAACACTCTCGAGATTCCAGAATGAATCTAGAATATATTCAAAACCATTACCTTAACATATTTTGAAAATAAATTAAGCTATATCAGAAAAAGACATTTGGTTTAGAATCAGAATGTTTTTACATTACTTATTCAGGAATAGCTGATTTGCTTTAAACGTCACATTCTGTCTTACAGAGAGAGGGAAGCCACATAAGGATCCTTTTTCAAGTAGTCTATATATTTTCTTTCTTTTCTTCTGTAAGTGAATAACTATTTATTGCATTTTATGTAGCATACAAAGACATTGCAATGCAAACTATCTTTTTTTATTTCTATTTTTCACTGTTTTGCTAAAGCTTCTTTTAAAGCAAACTAATTCTATATATACAGGTAACTTTCACACACACTGAAAAAAAGAAAATCCCTGGCCAAAAGATGGCAAAGAGAAGAGCATTTCTGAAATTTCACATCCCAATCAATATCTTTGTGAGAAGGGCCATGTGCAGAGATGTCTTCTCCTACTAAGATGCGTTGTAAAAGGCTGCAGGTAATCAGGAAGAAGCAGATTTCCAGACAAAAGGGAAAAAAGCTAAAGGAAAAAAAGCTAACAGAGTTGTGACATCTGTCATTCTGTTGTGTACCTGTAGGCCATCAACGTTTCTAAGCAAGCTGTTCACAACAGATGGAACGTGGCCTTTTGGTTCAGGCATTAAACCACAAACTGAGGACTACATATGTCATGCTAAAGGTGTGATTTAGGGGAGCACCAAGGGTAATACAAGAACCCATTACTAAAATCCAACAAGGAAAAATCTGAAATGACACAACAGAAGACTAATCTATTAACAGCTAAATTTTAAAAAGAATGATAAAATATGTTTCTGGCTTTTTCTAACATCAAAAGTAACAATAATAGTATTTTATAAATGAACTCCTTCACTCTTTTAACTAAGGATTTTGAAAAATTTAAAAAAGAATAAAAGGTACCTTGCACATATAGGAGCATCATCTAAAATATCTACCTTCACAAAGCTCCAACAAAATGCTTCCCATTGAGGTCATTCAGTCCCTGTGACAACTAATAATACTAATAATGGGTGAGAGAAACATTTTTATATGAGAATTAGAAACTGGCTAAAAAGACAGAAAACCAACAGCAGGGATATATAGCCAATTTCAGTAGCTCAAAAGGTAACCAAAAATGCTCAGTACCTCCTGTTAGGGATGTTTAATTTATTTATAAAGGGGAATGAGTAGCACCAACATATTTATACATCGTAAAATAATTTAGAATAGTCAGCAACGAATAAATGTTTGCTGAACTCAAGAAATCTTGGTTAGCAGATGGCCTCCTTAAGGGTGAAAGTCAGTACTGATTTATGAAGAATAAGACACATTGCAGAAGCCTTCTAAGCTACATACATTACCAGATCCTGAACAAGTTGTAGCTCCTCAAGTAAAAGACCTGAATGCAATTCATATACAGACGAAAAAACATGAAAATATGGTTATGTTACTGTAGAAATTTGTGGAATCGTTAAATCCAAACTATGTTATTTTGTTATGCTTATCAGATTTCTCAAAAGAAAGTACAGAACCACAGATTTCTGTTTGGAGGAGAACACAGTGAAGGAAAGGTAAGGTGGATGCACACAAATGTGTGCACAGAAATGATGTGACAAAGTTTCCAAGGTATGAACTTGTTTTACACACAACTATTCCAACTTAGGTTTTGTTAGCTATTATTTATAAAATAAACCAAGTTCTAGCAATACACAATATTCTTTGGCACCGCTAGGGCATAGTAGCAATGCGTGGTTTTAAATTAAATATTACAGAAATTTTATTTGCGTAAAATGACACATAGTCAGAGGTTTTAAACTCTTCCTTCTCAATTACAGATTACAGGAAGACCAATGTTTACATTCTATGATGGTTTCATTCATTAATAAGTGTTAATTTATTACCACAAAGGTACTGGCATTTCAAAAGCATCATTGCAAATGAAAGACTAATCCTGTAACAGATTGAATTTCATTAGCAAGGAAATGTGTCAATCTTTTGATTAAATTAATGATCAAACTGAGTGTTTTAGAAAAGACTCAGTAGCGTCACCAGCAAAGTACAAGGAAATCCTCTAAGTAAGGATTTTGTATTTTAGAAGAGAATGCCTGGAGTATGTAGCATATTTATGAGTTAGGTTCAAGCTCCAACAACTGAGAAAATAATTTTGTCACTCAGCTTCATTTTTTAGTTCTGCTAAATGAAGAACGAAGAAGATTATGAGGTAAAGGCTAAGTATCAAGTAAGCCATATATTATTGCATTTTTCCATCACCACAGAGTGAGGCTGATTAACATTTTTACTTCTCAGGGTCAAAGTTTTAGGGCAATCTGCCAAACTCTGTGTGCTCCACTTCCCACGAGAGGTGAATCTTGTTAAGATTTGATGGCCACCGTGACAGCTGAGAAGTGTCCACAGTTACACATGTGCCAGCAAACCAAATGGCCAGGAACTATTCCCTGTCCTGCCATGGAACACGATGGCATAGGATGGTCTGTATCCACGTGGCTGAATTTCCTCCTGCCTAAACCCAGGATGTCTGCATCCAAACTAACTATTGGGAACGGTCCTGGGCCTCTGCAAGCCCAGAACCAGGCCAGGGTGCTCCTGGGAGTCGCTGGCTGCTTTGGGCCAAAAAGTCTCTTTGGGACTAGTCCAAAAACATCCCTGCGCAGTTGGCCCAGTATTCAAATCCATGCAGTAGCCCCACTTAGTTACAAGTATGGATGTCACCTGTATGGCCCTTCTCTACTAATTAGACTTAGTTAAAGGCATCACCCTAAGACTAAGTTTGTGTTAAGGAGTCTCCTGAAGAGACCGTTAACAGAAGCCTCCCTGCGAGTCAATAGGAAAATAGGCATGTGGTCCAAATCTGAATTTATCCTGAGGTAAACTGGCAATTCCTATTTAATTTCTCTTTTAATGAAATAAGAAAGCATTACTTCACAGAAGTTTGAGAAAAAAACCCACCACAGTGCCCCATTAACCTGCAGAGCACAAAGGCTGAAGAAATTAGCAGCATTCAAAACTGACAGCTGAAGAGCAACCAAGGAGGAGAGATAAAGAGATGGTACTTTCTCCTTTTCATGCATGCTAGCTTAAGTGCATCAGGTTCCCTCATCATTGTCCAAGAAAGGGACAATCGAGTCTATGTTTGGTCAGATTATGAAAAAGCTTTAAATAGGGTAACAAAAAATCAGCTAAACATACACTCCAAATATAAACATTTACTGAATTATTTGAAGAATAAATACAACATGTTAACCTCCGGCTCAGAATAATAAACTGTAAGCAATCAAAGGCTCTCAAAGCAGAGCATTTAAGACAAAAACCAAAACTCATGTAATAAAAGAATATCACATAAGAACGACACAAAAATAAAATCAAATTATCTAGCTACTAAAATACACATATGTGCTCAAAATCTTGTGGGAATGAAATATTCCAGTAAAAATAAAGGGAGAGATGGAAACACAAGTTTCTTATTATCACACTTCATATGTTATAAAAGCTAACAGTTAACTTATTTTTGGCAAAAGGACAAAGGTTGCACAACACTCTGGCTAACACAAATATTTTCTATTGTTAAATGCATCTTAAATGTAGCTTGTCATATATTAACTTCAGGCACACAGTGCAGTGTGCAGTCTAAGAGTGTTCCGTAGATACCTACATTTCAAAACATTGATGAATAGCATGCTGCCAGCATCCAGTGAGCCAGGTGTAAAAGAATTACTCAACAATTCATAGTTTAATTGAAAACAGATAAAATAATTTGTGTAATAAAGACTGTGCAGATGTTGACCAAAGAAAAGTTGATATTTTTTGACAAATTACTGCATCTGATATTTTCTAGAACACTCCCTCTTGAAAAGATAAAACAGTAATAAAAGTTCTCTCCAAAAAATGCCCTTGTTTATAATCACAAAGTGAAATATGCCTGTGGAAATATATCAAGTTAACTTCATGTTTCATGTTTTTAGTTGCTGTTTCCTTTAAAAGGAAAAAAAAAGTTAAGACGTGCAGTGGAAATGGTTATGAAGAAGTGGAAGAACCTACCCATGCATATATTAAACACAGACTTTACGCTGACACTGCACTTCCTTCCACTGAAAAATTTATAATGTAAAGGAAGAGGCAATGATTCACCAAGAGTGAACGTTTAAGAATAAAAAATTCAGAATTCTTCATTCATCACCTGCTAGTAGAGTTATTTCTAAGCCCTAACAGTTTGCCATTTCCAGGGTTGCAAGGATACGGTCCTGCCTCAGCCTTCCTATTGCTTCACAGCAACAAAGAAAAATGTTCAGATACACAAGAACATGCAGTAACACCTCTCACTCTCATCGAATTACACAAACCAAGACTGAGTTGCAAAAGCAATGATATATGCATATGTATTAAATTTCAAAAATAATGTCCTTCATAAAAGTAATCTTCACAATTTGTATTACTATTCTTTTCCACACATTTTCCCATGTAAAGCCAGCAATTTGCTTGCCTTGAGATAAGAAGCTGCTATTAAAATCATAACCAGTCTTAATTTTTGGTATAGTAAGATAATGGCCAATTATCTAGCAATCTTTTTATAAATTATTTAAAGACAAGAAGACAACAAGAAAGTCCTATATATATTTATCACCATTATTAATCATTTATATTACAGGGGCATTTAAAGGTCCAAATTCAGAGTAAGAACTTTATTTTACACCAAATTATTATACATTAGGATTAGTCATTAATGTTTTTATTTCATTTTAATGAGAACTAGGATTGAAAGTTTGTGTATAGCAGAATATAGCATCCACAGGAAAGATATGACATTACCCATAGGCTAAGCATGTGCACTGCTTTGCTAGTAATGTAACTCCCATTCTATAAGGTTAACGTACCTGTAGTTCTGATGCTCGCTTCATCATCTCCAGTGTGATGTAGCAACCAATAGAATGAGCAATCAGTACCAGCTTTATATCTTTTGATACATTCTTTTTGAGGAAGTTCAGCTTATGCTCTACTTGTCCATTGAGTCCAAAAACATCCTCTAGCTCCTTAATATCTGTGTCTGAAACATAGAAAAAGTCCTATGTTTTAATGATAGAAATTTCAAGTATCTCGATTTTTGCACTTCTTTGGAAAACTCTGAAATAAATAAACTTATTAATTAAAAAAAACCCCAAACCCAAAACAACTCCAAACTTAAAAATTTAAGTTACCACTGATGAATCACATGTATAGGATGTGGAGCCTTATGTGTAGCTGGGGAACAGGGAAGGATACATAAACACACAGAGCTTCACGGCACATCATCTAGCATTGTGTTTGCCTTCATTCAGGACAAGACCAAACTCAAGGCATTGGATCAGCCTAAATCAATCCAAATTTACATTGAGAGATCAGGACCTACAATAGCAATACTGCCCAGGAACAGGAGTCCCTTCACTCAAGACAAGCTATTGTATATGTTATCATGCACGAGAGACCTTCAGATATTCAAAATCTTCTGTCTTAAAATAAAGACACACAAAGAAGTCCTATGGAATAAGTAAAAAATATGAAATGCGTACATCTCAACATGGACTAGCACTTACATCAACTACTCCTATTTAGGGAGGTTCTTATTCTCCATCCAGCTACAAAGAGGAGGATCACATTAGAGCTTCACGGTTCTCAGTTATTGTGCAATTTCATTCCTGTTCTGCCAGGGACCTCCTGGAGGAGCTTGGGCAATCACTTATGATGAGGACTTCGCTACTCGCTTCCTGGCCAGTCAACAAGATATGGATGATTTGGTACCTGTAACAATTTACAGCAATTTGGGCACCTTTCTTTAACTCTTGCTCATGAAGTGGCTGACATGGCTCTCAAGTCCCCCAATCTAAGGGGGTTCACAGCTCTTCCATCTGCTAGAAAAGTGCTCTACCCACTGAACTAAAAGATATATTAAGGACACACCACTCCAATTTAAGCTGCACTACTCGATGGAAAAGACTGTAAGAAGAAATACTGAAAAAAACAGATGAAAGAAAAGAGGCAAAAAGCATGAAGGAACTAATGCCTATAGCTTATCTGAAAGAGATGTACTGGTACTAATATCACTTAATCTCTTAAACCCATGCTATTACTTCAGGGCTCAATTTCATATTCCAGTTTAAACCCCTGTTCTTTTACACTCCTTATATGTTGACTTGCAGTGCAGCTTTCATGGAATGATTTTGGTTGAAAAAGACCTTTCAGATCAAGTCCAACCCTTAACCTAGCACTGCCAAGTCCACCACTAAACCATGTCCCTAAGCACCACATCTACACCTCTTTTAGATCCCTCCAGGTATGGTGACTCCACTACTTCCCTAGGCAGCCTGTTCCAATGCTTTATAACACTTTTGGTGAAGAATTTTTTTCTAATATCCAATCTAAACCTCCCCTGTCACAAGTTGAGGCTGTTTCCTCCGGTCCCATCACACGTTACTTGGGAGAAGACCAACACCCACCTGGCTACAACCTCCTTTCAGGTAATTGTAGAGAGCGATAAGGTCTCCCCTCAGCCTCCTTTTCTCAAGGCTAAACAACCCCAGTTCCCTCAGCCACTCCGCATAAGACTTGTGCCCTAGACCCTTCACCAGTTTCATTGCCCTTCTTTGGACACGCTCCAGCACCTCAATGTCTTTCCTGTAGCGAGGGGCCCAAAACTGAACACAGTACTCGAGGTGCAGCCTCAGCAGTGCTGAGTACAGGGTGACGATCACTGCCCTAGTCCTGCTGGCCACACTATGTCTAATACAAGCCAGGATGCTGTTGCCTTTCTTAGCCACCTGGGCTAAATCTCCTTGCAGCAAGGTTCAGACACATGATGGGGCTCAGCTCATTACTGAGCAATGGTCCTACAGACAGCACACAGATTCCTGGCAAAAGCCACCCACCTCTAACAAGTCAGGAGCAGCTAACAGAGGTAGCACACACACAGCCCTCACCAGTCCAGAAAGTATTAGGTGTTTAACTTCCCACTTAGTTTATGTTGATGCCCTCTGCATCAGTTCTCCACGTGAAAAAGAGATGTGGAAGAAAGTATCCATCAGGCACCGTAAATATACGCACATTAAAGGCTACGATACGAGAAAGTTAGCTAGGGGCGCAGACCCATTTCAGATGTAGTTGGTTTTGCGCCTGCTTGGACACAGTGATAACTGAAGCCTTTCTGCTTTTGTCCTTCAAATTATAAAGCTGACTGTTTTTTTAACATGCATGTGGTGAATTTGATAGCAATTGGTCAGTAACCTCAAATGCTAGAAACTACTAATGCTACTGTAGTGAAGTTATCGGGGTTGGACTCTGACAGTATTAATTTGAAGCCTAAGTGGGCTGGCACTATATTGCTTTTTTGATCATCTGTATGAAACATAACCTTCCAAAGCAAAATAACTGCTAAAGAATGTGTTCTGATGCCTTTTTTTTCTGAGCTTAAATTATTACCACAGAGGTCACAACAGAGAAGTTCTTCACTTAAACTAGTATTTCTACTAAAACTACTAATGTTCATATCCCAGTGTAATTTATAGTAGTTTAAATGAAAAAGGGGTTTACTAAAATGCACTCAAGGAATGCAAAATTAGATGACAAGTAGTATTTTGCCTATTAGGGTTTCTACAAGTAATGGAAAATAAAGAGTTTATTCTGTTTTCTGACACCCTAAATAAAAGCCTAAGGCCAAAACATTGTTTTTAAACTTAGTTTCTATTTCTAGCAAAAACTGTCTTTCCTACTTCTTATTTATTTATGCAGCAGCTTAACCACATGCAGGAGTGGGCTGTCTAAATCACAAGTCTAATTAAGGGTGTATATATAACACATATATAACACAGAACACTAGAAATATGATGGCCCACTGGATACAGCAACAAGTGAAAGAGTATGTTATGTTGAATACATGTATATTGCCATGTGTTGGGTTGAGCAGATCAATTTTCCCTTGTAAACATTTGCTATAATTTCCATGCTGTTTTTCTCAGGCACTGCCATCTCCAGTGATTTATCAGCACGTCTTTTAATGTGATTTTACAAGAATTTCAATTTACTTTCAGGTGAGAGCAAGAAAAAAGGAGGTGTATAAAACTAGAGAACCTCTCATGGTTCGCGAGACCTCAGAAACAAATCCTGAAACACAACATAAAATTCTATTTGTATTGCCCATACAATCTCATGATTTTGAAGCCAACCTTATAATCCATTATCAATTTAGATGACAGAAAATCAGACTTGCCCAGGTTAATGGCTGCTTTTCACTACACGAATTCAATATCTGCTCCAAGAGATGCTGAACATTGCTGCAATGCAATTACTAAATAATACAGCAAATATAGCCTAGCCCAGTCTCAACATTTTCCAAGTTAGGGTAGATAACTATGTTAGATAAATACAGGTAATTCATTATTTCAGTTACTCAAGACATTAGATATCTAATTTAATACTTAGTTACTTAATAAATAGTAGTGCAGAGATTCAGGGCAACATTTATAGCTATTGCTGATTTCAGCAGAGATGTGCCTATTCAGAACCAGTTCTGCTGCCAAAGCAAGAACCCTGAGGAAGGATATGCATCATACAGTGGAGATTAAGAGTGGAGTCAAAATAAGGGCTTTTTCCTCCTCACATGTGCCCAGACTTGAATTTAGGACTTGAGCATACTCAACTCAAGTCTGTGCCCTGGTGTTTCCTTAAGGGAGCAGGGGAGAGCAGAGCTTGCCGAAGCAATTTTTAATTGGATGAGTTAGTTATGATTGATGAAGATCACAGAGACCCGTTCTACTGCACTGGGCCAAAGCATCCTCTGCGCAGCCCTGCTCAGCACCACCCAGAGCAAGGATGCTCAGATTCCCACATCTACTGGCCTGTCTTACACACACGCACACACACACCTCTCTCTCTTCGACTGAAAGCAAGTCCTGACAGCCAATGCTGACCCCAGAGAATTGTTTCAGCTGTTTAATACAACTTTTCCTTTTCTTCTGAAATACTGGTTTGCTGCCAAACCAAATCACATTGGCACTACTCCTAGAGAAGCCAGACTGGAGGATGAGAGTGCGGTGTGGGGTCTGGCAATCCACAGGCAAAACTCTCCTCGTTGCAAAGTGACCCTGCGCTCTCGCACAGGTAAAACTCCAACGTCACGTAACCCTATACTGAAATACGCATCCCATTTTATTTCTGGACAAATATAAATTTGCCCATGCCTCGTGTCACTTCATGGTTCTCCAACACAAATGCTACAGTTCTAATAGTCCAAAATATGTGAGAGCTGGGCTGCGTCACAGGTTTGGAAGATCTATTTATTTATTTTACAGAATAAAATCGCCTAGGGATTATCCAAAATCAACATGAATTTCTTGGGTGGATAAGCTTAAATGGGTTCTTTATATAAGCAAACAGACTTGTACAAACACACTGGCAGTCAGCTCACCGATGGCTCTACATCAGAGAAGGGACCGGAGTTACTTCACCTCAGGTGTGGAATAAATGGCATGGCTGAAGGACAGCTCATTTAAGCAGTTTTCAGATAGTAGAAATTATACGACTTGTACTTTATGCTGCAAACACCCCATCTGGGCCAAGCCATGTGATTTTAAGACTTTATTTAGCTGAAGTGTATTAAAAGAAATACTGTATTTCTTTATTGTCTTTGGCAAAGCATTAATCTTCTGATGTGCTTTCAGAAAAACAAATGCACAATCACTTTAATGAGTCTCTTTTTCTGACCTCTGCTAAACCCACAGTCAGAAAACAATGATAGATTAAAATAAAGTGTTTGCTCTATGATTAGTCGACAAGTTAATCTTGCTAGGAAAGTGGACTTTGGTTTTCAGGGAAATAACAGAGAATTGTGTGTGTTTGTTTTTCTGCTGTGTATGCACAGGAAATTCTTAGGCAGAAAAAAAAAAGCGTATCAGTTAAATGAGCAGACTTTAGACTGGAGATTCATAAAATTCAACCTTTCATTAAAAAATCTCCAAAAAATCATAGACTCCTTTTTACTGAATGACTCAAAAAGATACTGGAGGCTGGATTTTCCAA